TTGGGGAACTAGGACACATGTTAAAAAAAAAAACTTGGCAAAACAGCCATATGGAATTCTTGATGTGGCTATAAAGCAAACACTGTGTGTCTGCATTGCAAGTCTCAATAGTAAATACCGCCAGCACTTGGAAGCCCTTTGTTGCGTCATTCCGATGTCCGTTCCCCCTCGTAAGTGGTGGAGTGGGTCCTGATTCCCTTCATAAAGAATTTCTTTGCTTTCTAATGTAGTTACAAGTTTAGATCTGTGACCAAATCATGCCTGTAGCTTTTGCCACCTTTTTGAATTTCATACATGTGTTCTTTATTTTGCTTTCTCCATTCAACATTTCTTGAAAGATTCCCTTGTGTGTTTACTTTTTTTCTGGTTTTTTTTTGAGACAGGGTTTCCCTGTGTAGCTTTAAAACCTGTCCTGGACTTGCTCTGTAGACCAGGCTGGCCTTAAACTCACAGAGATCCGCCTGCCTCTGCCTTCCAAATGCTGGGACTACAGGTGTGTGCCACCACCGCCCAGCTGTGTGTTTACTTCTTACTTTGAAAATGGCCAGATATGAGAAGTGGAAAGGATTTTATGACTATATTCTAATAGTTACTAAACTTTGGTGGTGTGTAATGCTTCCTTTCTGAAGTGGTGTGTGTGTGCATGTATGTGCATGCATTGTGCTGTGTATGCACATACATGTGTGCAGGTGTTTGTACCCCTGTGTGTATATGGAGGCCACTGAGTGCTCTTCTTCAGCCCTTCCCACCTTATTCTCTTGTGACAGAGTGTCTCACTGAACTGATAAGGCTGGCTTCCAACAGCCCTTCTATCTCGATTCCTCACAGCTCTGGGGTCACAGACACTTGTGGGTTTTGTTTGTTTATTTGTTGTTTACTTATTTACATGGATGCTGGCAATTTGAACCCATGTCTTCATGCCTGCTCAGCAAGTACTCTTACCCATGAAGCCGGCTCCCCAGCCCCTTCTGAAGTGTTTTAATATAAATTACAGACCTCTCATCATGCATCTCTGAAACAGTAAGAAATGTATTCCACGTGTATACGGGCCATTTTCAGATATAGCAAAGCTAAGAATAACCTTTAATGAACTTCAGTACCATCCCAGAACTGTATTTGTCTAGTTAGCTCCCAAATGCTTTTCCAGCTGGTTCATTCCACTTTGTGGGTACACTTAAAATCTTTGAAAAACATATTCTTAACTACATAGCTTACAGTTTAGGAGGAAGCTCTGTCCCTTTCCTTTTCACATATGCATACCTGAGGCCTGACAGGGAAGCCCTCTTCCTGTAGCAAAGAGAAAAACAGACCTGTTAATGGCATCATCTGGTCTCATACATTGTCACTCCAGAGGAAATAAATAAATCTAAATTACTGTCAAAAGACATACTCAGTATCTGTTCCAACAAAACCAGAATTGTTAATGGCCAAATGCTCGCTGTATTACGTTGCCCAAAGTTAAAGGAATCTATACCTTTGCATATTGGGGAAAGCCCTGGAGCTGAATGCATTGGTGAGCTCCTAGCTAAGAGCACTCACTGCAGCACAGGGCTCCGCTGACTCAGGCTTCCACAGCAGCAGAAATACATGGAAAGAGATGCTTGACCACTATCATCATTACTAGCTCAGACATGAAGAGTCTGCCCTCCTGTGTGGTCACAGTCATCTCTCCGCACCCATGGACCCAAAGATGACAAAATCTAGTCCCCTCCCTTCAATGGAATACTTTCGTAGACCATGGGGGTCTTGCTGAGCTCTAAACCCCATGATTAGATGACACACGACAGTAACTGCAATGGAAATGCTGTCTGCATTGGGGGTTTTAGGGTATTGCTTAGTGAGTGGTGGCCAGGCAAGCAAAAAGGATCTGTCATGAAAGTAGGGGTGGGTGGGGGCATGTTGGAGAGAATAGTTTCAGTGGTTAGGGAATGGGAGAGAGGAATGGGAGGTGAATACGACTAAAATTTATTATGAATCAAACTGTCAAAGAAAATAGAGAGAGAAAGGGTCTGTGCATGTCCAATACAGACACCATTTTTCTCTGATTCTTTTTTATCTGAGCTTGCATCTGTGGAGTAACTGATATCTAAGTTTACATTCATTTATCGAGTATCTGTGGGCAACACTGTCCTGCAAAGAAGACTTTAGACTGTATGGACGAAGATAATTTAAATCTCACCACAAAAAAAAAATCAGTAAATAAACAGTCTCATCTCTGACCTTGTGGGTTATGAAAAACTGACCCAACTATTACTACTACTACCACCACCACCACTAATAATAATAATAATAATAATAACAATAATACAGTAGTTGGGTCACTACCTTGATAATGTGTTTTCTTCATGTGTCTCTGGCTCCATCCCACCAAACCTGAAATCCCCTAAGAATAACTACAGGAGAGTTCCCATCCAGGCATGGAACTAGTTAAGATTTCAAACAAAGAAGCATTGAGCCCTAGACAATTGGTCCAAAGCCAGTATTATAAGAACAGCCAGAGTATGACTAGCTCTTTACAAAGAAAAAGAGAGAAGAGGGTTGTTCTGCCTGAGTGTGTCTGTAGCTTCTGGTTTAACAAATTTTTCTCAAGGCCAAGGCTAGTTTGTCTGGTATTTAGGGCAGTGATCCAGATAGTTTTATCAGTATGTGAGGACCATCCAAGCCTGGTAGGAAATCCCTAAAAGTGGCTGAGTCACAGAACTGCTGTGACGCCATGTGACAGAAAGAGAGTAAGAGGATGAATGTCTTAGTCACTGTTCTATTGCTTTGAAGAGACACTAAAACCAAAAAGCCCTTATAAAAGAAAGCATTTAATTGGGGGCTTGCTTACAGTTTCAGAGGGTTAGTCCTTTATCATCAGTGCAGGGAGCATGATGACAGACAAGGCTCTGGAGAAGTAGTTGAGATCTTTAATCCTAATCTGCAGTCAGCAGGTAGAGAAAGAATCTAGACATACTGTGGACATTTGAAAACCCAAAGCCTACCCCCCAGTAACACATTTCCTCTAACAGATCATTCCCTCCTAATTTCCTTTTAATCCTTTCAAACAGTTCCACTCCCTGGTGACTAAGAATTCAAATAGATCAGGCTTGGTGTGTGTGTAGGGGGGCGGGGGGGCATTCTTATTCAAACTACTACAATGGATTATTGGATCCCTGCAAGTTGCTCTGGTAAAACTTTGGTAAGGGCTGTAAGATCACACTGACACAGCAGCCACTGAGATCCGTGCTTATTGTGTGACAAGAACGCTTACCCTTCATCTGCTCTATGGAATGGGATTACTAAATGGATTTAGCGTTCTGTTACTGTGACAGAACGCTTGAGAAAGTCAACTGAAAAGCAGGCAAGATTTGTTTTAGATTCAGAGTTTTTCAGTCCATGATTGCTTGCCCATGCAGGACTGTGGCAGTTCAGCATTTTATCACAGGCAATACGTAGTGGCTCAAAATCACCTTTATCATGGCACTTAAGAAACAAATACAAAGGAGTGTTGACACCCCAAAGTCTCCTTCAAAGCTCCACCTCCCAGTCACCCAAATTTCTCCAACTCGGTTCCACTCCCTACAGGTTTTATCACATGCAACATGATCAGTTCGTTGTTCCAGAAGCAAACTGTCAACGTGATCCACCTAGCAGAGAAAAACACTAGGCATGTTCATTCTGAGGACCAGTTGGCCCACGTTGACAAGTAGAAAGGTGTCTTTTTACATAGTGAATGAATGATTCAAGTGAGAGATTATTAGGTGTTGGTGCAGATTATTTTGGACTTGAATGAAATGCCTCATCAAACTATATTATCAGAGAGTGTGAGCCTAGCCGAGCCTGACAACGACCCAGAGATCTTTCTATCAAAAGCAAGGTGCCACAGCCCTACTCAGAATTTGTGAAATCAGAATAGCAGGGGTGAGGCATCTGTCTTCAGCAAAGAGATGTGTCTGATGTCCCAGAGATCATAGGCTCCCACCGAGACTTGGCTTCTTGCCCACTTGTTTCTCATTCTAAATTCTGTTAAGGTGTGTGCATGTGTGTGTGTGTGTGTGTGTGTGTGTGTGTGTGTGTGTAAGTAAGCTGCACACGACTTTGCTCCTCCGTTCTGCCAGTAGTGTGTCACCCCTAAGTAGCTATGCTCCTGAGGGATGTAGAAATGTTCAGTCTGACACGGCCACTGAAATACCCCCACCACCACCCCGTGTTTACCAGAGGTGGGATTGCAGGTGCTGAAGGGACTGCCTTCCCTTCAGAGGCTCCCAGCATGTCTCCCGTGGGCCCTTTGGATCTATTTCCCCTTCACTGGTCCCCATTACGCCCACTCTTCCCATAGGAGAACTCTCTCCTCCTCTCTAGCCCCACCTACCACACATGTGGCTCAGCTGGAGAAGCACCTGGCTTGGGAAAAGTTGGTTCCTCATGTGGCTTCTCCCATATGCGGCTACATAGGGAGGTGGAAGGAGAGGTGAAGCAGAGATCTTCGTGGGTCTTCGTGGACCACCCTAGTACAGGGTACTTTTCCAGAGATAAATATCCAAATGCGTACCTCTATTTAATTTTTACATTGGAAAAACAAGGAGACCCTAGGTGAGGAGTCAGATTGGCAAAATGCCCCGAGATGCCGAAATGCCCAGCCTGTCTGACAGGAGCAGCCATCCTGGGGACATGCCCCTGACCGAGAGGTAGAGCCCCAAACAGAGGCTGAATCCCAGACCCCTTAGCCAATAGTCGTGCGGCTGACGAGATGTTGAAGCTTCTCCACACAGAGGCATCCGCCACTGTAAGTCAGAGTCAGAAGTCATTCATCAGATTCAATAACCAAACCTGCCTCAGAGGTAACTCGAAGAGTATTTTGAAGAGTTAAAACATTACCTGGTGTCATGGGCTTACCATCAGCAAAACGGGCTTCATAGGCTTTCATGAGATAACAGTGTCCATTAACAGATGGATCCTTTGCAGGGAGGAGGACAATGGCTACCGTTCACACCGCCTCTCTTGTCTCTTGCTTGCAGCTCTGGAAAGGAAGATATCAATGAGGCAAAGCAGAGAGGAGCTGATCAAGAGAGGGGTCTTGAAGGAAATCTATGATAAAGGTAAGAGGCTGTCTGTTGTCCGCAGGCCCAACAAGGTGTACATATTCATTTCCGGTTCTGCGTTTTGCTATCCACATCACTTCAGTCGGGATTTGAACATTTAAAACCTGCTGATTCTAGAGGAAGAGAGAATGTAGCAGAGGGCACTAAAAACATCAGTATTGGGTGAGAAGAAAGGGTATGGTGCTACCCAAATCAGCCACAAGCATGAGTGCACACACACACACACACACACACACACACACACACACGTATACATACACACAAAGATGTAGGCCCTGCACCGGGCAAATGTAATAATTGCTCTGTGCTTGTGTGAACTCTGGGGTTTCCCAAAATAAAGATTAAAAAGCCACAACCCAATAGGATTTTCTTAGCACATTTTCTCTCTCTCTCTCTCTCTCTCTCTCTCTCTCTCTCTCTCTCGGAACCTTGTGTTTGGTGCTGTGTACCTCATCTTTTGTCTGCTATATTGTCCCCTTTAAATATGAATGGCGGCAGTGTCGCACGGTAACAGGCCTTTGCTCCTGTTCATTGAGAACTCTGGTCTTTGATGTTGAGCCTGCTTGCATAGATCTCTTTCCCCACTCTCTCAGCTTCCCTTTCTTCAGCTTTCTCTTCCTCCCCTCCCTTTGCTTTCTCTCCCTCAGATGGCACAGTCCTCCAAGGGTTGTACCTGAGAAGCCAGCTGCTTCCAGTCTCCTTCGACTCTTTAGCCGTCTCTGTCAAGTCTGTGTGCTAGTCCAGTTGGTGTTATTGGAGGGGCCAGATCATGAGCTATTTGACTTCCTGGGTTCACCCCAATAATCAAGTGCTCCTATGGCTGGCGTGGGGCAGCCCGTTTGCAATGATTCTTTGTGGGTCTTCTCCAAACCCTTGTGAGTCCCAATGTGTAAAGGCGGCTTATGTTGCTGAGTCCTGGTACAATGCTCTAATTCAGCTGTTTTCTACACTGGGCCCTTACTTCTTGTCTTCGTTTGGGTTACTGATGCTATAATCAAACACCATAACCAAAGCAACTTGAGGAGGAAAGGGTTCATTCTGCTTACACATCCATACCGCTGTTCATCACCTATGGAAGTTAGGACAGGAACCCAAACAGGGCAGGAATCTGGAAAGAGGAGCAGATGCAGAGGCCAAGGAGAGATGCTGTTTACTGGCTTGCTACCTCATGACTTGCTCAGCCTCCTTTCTTATAGAACCCAGGACCACCAGCCAAGGAGAGCATTACCCACAATAGAAACCCCTCCCCCATCAATCACTAATTAATAAAATGGCCTACAGGCTTGCCTATAGCCTGATCTTACGGAGGCATTTTCTCAGTCGAGGTTCCGTCCTCTCAGATGACTTTAGCTCGTGTCACGTTGACATAAAACCATCCAACACACTCCGCTGCAGCATGTCCACCTCATCCATTACCATTACGGGCCTTCTCAGCAGTATGTCTGAAGCATTTAACCATTGCACAGATTGACAGCTTGAAATGCAAGTAGAAAGTAACACACACACCGTACCCCCTGCCCTGGTGACAAGAGACACAGGAAGGAATGTGACAGTATAATCCTTCAAACGAGGCTAAGTACCTGAGCTTCCTAAGGTCCTGAGTCCCTAAGGTGAGGTACATTCTCCATTTCTACCTGGAGGAGGCTAAGCAGCAGAACACATCTCTCTCTCCGGGGGTGGAATCCTTCATCTTGTCACTTTTCTCCAAGGGTCCCCAAACCCTGCCTGGCATTAACCTTCATCAGTACACTTCACCACAAGTTTCTCTCCACATTCACCCCCAGGAGAGGCCGCAGACGCCCGCCTGAGTGCAGGTGTGATCTTGGAGAATGAGTACCTAGTGCTTCAATCCTGTGCTCACAGCCCAAGCTGGTTCCGACGCCGCTAAACAGCTCTTCCCGCCTCCTTCCCTCCTTTTTCTCCTGCAGCCTTCACATGCCCAGAATCTCAGCCCCTGGGAGATAGAGAGAGGAAGATTAGGAGTTCAAGGCCAGCTATGACACATAACTTAATGAAAGTCTACCCTGAACTACATAGCTCCATAAGGCCCTATCTCAATAATAATAGTAATAAGCAACACTTGGGAGGAAGAGGCAGCGGCAGGGGCATCTATGCAAGTCTAAGGCCAGTCAGGACTCCATAACAAGATCCTGACTTACCCATACCCCTCTGAAACACTTCTAATTCCACACCCAGCTACCTTCGTGACTTCAGTTAACTTTATTAACTCAATGTGCCTCTATTCTTTTAATTTCAAAGTGTGGATAAGATTGTTGTGGTACCGACTGCATGAGATAATATGAATCATGACCGTGGTAAATACACAAATCCTCAAGAAACATTAATATGTTCTCATCACCATCTCCCATCGCCATATCTTACATTGTTTCAAGCCCTTTCTACTCTCAGAGCTGATGATGATCATGTGACCCTTTTCCCAGTGAGACACAGCACACATGTGTTTGCTCACCCAGATTGGGAACCCCCTACAGACAAGAGTCACTCCGAGTCTAACTTAGTGAGCCCGTGAGCTTTTTGGAGTTCCTTGTAGGAGTGTGGGTGAGGGGTTACTTCCAGGAGCAGGGATGACTCAAAGGTATCACTGAAGAGCCCAGCCTAGCGTGGGTGATGACTCACAACATCTGTATCTCCCGAGCTATCTAGACAACCTTCAGGCAGCTGGACAGACAGTTCAGAGACCTCTTCCGGGTCAGTCTCACCACGCGTCAGTTTCCTACTCTTTCCTTAATCTAGAGGTGTTTACTGCTTCCGTAGCCTTGAGGAGGTGGCCCTGTGAATGTTGTAGGCTTCGTCTTTACCAGACGTGTGAAGTGTGTTTACCCCCTGAGTCTCTTGAATGTCCTCTGACCGAAATGCTTTTGAGGTGCTGTGGTTGCACAAAGCCTCCCAGAGTTCCTGTTAGTTTTGCGTGAGTGATAGATGATCTTAGCGGTCAGAGGCCATTCGAATATTGTACCCAGTTCACGCAGCCTGGGATGTGCAGAATAGAAACCACCCTGGTAACGTGATTCTGTGACTCCCTGGATTTCCTGACCCTTTGTGACTTGTGTCATATAGAATGAGCGTGTCTCTTCCATAAATGTGCTTCTCGTGAGAAGGAAGGAGACAGAAAGAAGGAAAGGGAAAGAGATGAGAAAGAAAAAAGGAAGGGAAGGGAAGAGAGGGGGAGGACAGGGGCGGGAAAGGGGAGGAACTGTGAGAGAGAATCCAGCTCTCTGCTTCTGAAAGCCCTGACATCCCGCCTGCATTGTCAGCCGGGCCTGCCCCTTACCTGTGGCAGCCTACCTTGACATAATTGAGGCCTTGACAGCTCACTCAGAAGGTTCTGTCGTCCCTGGAGACAAAGGATCCCACGTGGGAGGGAAACCCAGAGGATGGGTCTGCTTCTGAGAAAGACTAGGACGGATGAGTGGCCCCATGAGTAACGTAGCTCTCCAGAAAGTTCTAGAATTTCAGATAACATTCCTCAGCAAATAAAAATAAAGCATGTCAGGGTGTAAGCTTGGGGATTTTGCTGTTTTGTTGTCCTTATTCAGATGATAGTTCTTTATGTTGCAGTGACCTCCAACCCTAAAATTATTTCATTGCTACTTCAAAACTGTGATTTTGTTACTGTTATGAATTGCAATGTGAATATCTGGTATGCAGGATGTTTGAAATGCGACCCCTTTGGGGGTCGCGTCCCACAGATTGAGAACCACTGCACTGGCAGGAGCTGTTACACGCACAACGGGAGCTCTCAAGATGGATGATTCCCCACCACCCCCTCCTGCCTGTAGCCTGATATTTAACATAAAGGTCATCATCCTCTCAAAATAGAAATAAAAATTTTTCTCCATATTAGAGGAGACAAATGTTGGCTGTGGCCTTCCAAAATCCCCTTATTTATCTGGCCCCAGGTGCGTGGACTTTTAAAGTCTTTTAACATCTACGGGAAATGCTTTTCACAACCTTTACCAGACACTGCGGTTTGTCCCATTTTAGCTTCTCTGATGCCGTGCCTACAAATGGCACCTATGGGGAGCTGTGATCTGTAGTAACTGTGTGGAAATGAGGATACAGTATTTGCTTCCAGTAACCACAGCAGAAAGCTAAGTGCAGCGGCTCAGAACTTCTTACAATAAATTCGTTCACACTTGTTCATTGGGGTCATCTAAGTAAAAATCCACCTATTAACATGTTCCAGGTATTCGGTTGACATGTTTGAGGAGTGGTTTACATGATGAAGAGGACAAAGAGATATTGTAATTAAATATTCCTTTGATTTGGGGCTGGAGAGGTGGGAGGAAGACTCTAAGCTGGCTGGGCGGTGGTGACGCATGCCTTTAATCCCAGCACTCAGGGAGGCAGAGACAGGGAGATCTCTGTGAGTTCAAGGCCAGCCTCGTCCACAGTGCTAGTTCCAGGACAGCCAGGGCTGTTACACAGAAAAACCCTGAGTTAAAAAAAAAAAAACACAAAAAAATACCAACCAACAAAAACAAAACAACAACAACAATAACAACAAAGAAAAGACACTGCGCAGCTCTTCCAGAAGACCTGCGTTTGGGTCCAGCATCCATGTGTTCACAAGTGCCTTAACTGATTTACCCTGAATAACCATGACCTCTTCTGACCTCTGCAGGCACCTGTACCCCATGTGACAGACACACACACACCACCACCACCACCACCACCCCACACACATATGAATAAGTAAGTAAATATCTTCTTAGACAACACCAAATTCTCAGAAAAAGGAAGAAAGAAAAGCACTGCCCAAGCCAGAAGAATGAATGAATTAGTGCTATCCCTGAGTATAAGTTAGCAAAGAGTGGACTTTTGTTCATCATGGGTTGGTTGAGCACGTTGCCATGTTGCAGGCATTGTTCTTTTTTAAATTTGTGTGTGTGTGTGTTTTTTTGTCCAGACAGGGTTTCTTTCTGTAACCCTGGCTGTCCTGGAACTTTCTCTATAAACCAGGCTGGCCTTGAACT